GCGTGGTGTAAAAATGAATGGGAAGCCAGTGAATCTATTTTGTTAGCACCAAGATATAATTACGCCACAAATACATTACGGGAAGAGAATCACATACATTGATCATGAAGTCGTGAAGTTAAAGTTGTCCAAGGCATTGTCATTGTGATACCAAGCGTGTGTCAACACAAAACAATAGTATGATGATGAATACGAAACACTGCAGTAATTTTTAAAAGTCTTTTAACAATAATAAAATATCATATTAAATGTTATACCAGTAATAAAAATGGTACCAGTATTCTTCATGTAGACTCACTTTCACCCACTGTAGAGATATCTTTAAATGATGTCAAAGCTTGATATGATATCGTTTAGATTTTTTTAAAGCACTATGATATATCACGTAGTCCAGAAATGTTCTGTCAGAAATAGTTGACATGCCGTGCAACAGTGTTATGATGCAGAGAGGTGTCTCCATCAGGCGACCATGGGAGAGACAGTGAGGGGCATATAGGCCCTACATCGATAATAACAGAATCTAATCCTGTTTAAGGCTAGTATTTTTTCCTGATCCTTGAGGGTGTCCCTAAGTCTACCCAGCTCTGGCCTTAGCTGGGGAAAAGTAAAGCTGGCTGGTTATTGCGCTGGCCATACACTCACACTTGTAAACGCTGCTTCAATTGCCCCAAGGGAGCTTTACTTCCCAAAGACTCGCAATGCATCCTGCGACCAGCAGGGTTCCAATTAATTTTTGTATGCTTTTTTTTTGGTATTTAGACCCATAGTTACAACAGTGGCCATATGGCTTTTTGTTTCAATTATCAACATTTTTTTACAAGAGCTAAAATTGTTGATGTCAATGATATTGATATGTTTTAAGTACAGTACCAGTATGTTCATTTCATTGTCATCACTAAATGTTATTTCAACTATTTCTGGAGCGGCATATTGTGTCCCTACTTATTATGATACTTATTAGAAAATAAAATGAAACAAAACGTGACATATTTTTTCAGCTAAACATTAATACACAACTCTGAGATATAAAATATTTAAATAAGTAAGTTATTAATAATTATTTGTTTATTAGAGAAAAAACAAATGGATGTTAAAGTCTATGAGTGGAATTATACAAAGAAAATTAAACAGTCAAAAGAGCTAAAAGTATATCACAATGTACAGTTAGAACAGCTGTATATGACTTAAACATGGTTTATGCGGCTCATCTGCATGTCCATGTTGTTTACATTTTTTTAACGAAACTTGAATGAACATTGTAACAAAATAGATTGAAACTTGTAACATAAGTAACAAAACTATATGAAAATAATA